TTTTTTTTTTTTTTTTTGTTTTGTATCCAATCCAATGTATCAATAATTCGTAATTCAGGCTTCTTAATTTTTAATATTAATTTGCTTATGCAGAGACACAAGGTATTACATGTGCAGTGGGGCTGTATTAACAAGACATCATGTTATAACATCGGCCTCGTGTATGAATCATGCCGCCGTTAATGAGTAAGCGATTAACGAATTTTCTACCTCTTGTGCATTATATCACAATCGCAACGTACTTTCAATAGAACGAGATCGAGCTTGACGATTAATTAATCCGTACTCTTTTGCTCCATAGAAAGCACATCGAGGCAAGAACGGCCGTGCTGGTTGGTGCATTGAGCGACAGGAGCTACGTTATCATGGTTGCACTGTACGTATTACATCCGGAATATACGCCTGATCCGCACTCGCAGAAATATGAATTGCACAATATTGCTGTGATAACGTTACTTTGTCCGTAAGTAAGAAACATTGAATTATTGAATAAATAATGCCCATTAGAACGTTTAATACGTGGGTAATAATGCATTAGCGCAAGATGAAATTATCAAATATCAAATCAATAGCCTCTTCGATACGCCCGTTTGACGAGCATTTTAAATGCAATTGCTTGATTAACATTTGTTTAACATTCACTTACTCAGAATTCCAGCGCAAGTTGGAATAGCTGTAAAGCTACCTACTCAACAATACAGTGACATTGGCCACATGTGTTGCTCGGAAAAATGTAAGCTATTGACAGTTATCGAAAACACACAGGTAATCAATATTAATCCATTAGAAGCGTCATTATTGCGATTAATCGTATATTATAACGAAAGCCGATGATATTAATAGTTAACGATAAGCGAATTGAAATAATAGGGCAATTATTAATATTGCCAATTATGATTATTGCAGAATTATCATTTTGTTAAAGAAATGAGGATTAGGAATGTGCCAAGACCGGTGCACAAGGAGAAGACTAAGGAGAAAGAATCGGGAATGGACTTAAATATAATGCACATAAACCAATTGACTCAACGTGAGAATCAAAATTATAAAAGATTAGTAAGGAGTCCTGGTATAGCACCGGCACCGCAATTCTTTACTCAGGATAAGCTTAACATCAAATCGAAGCCGAAGAAACATAAAGGCAGAAAGAAAAACGATTTTCCGATATCATTGAGAGGCCGAGGTAACGTATATGCGCATAATCATCGTGTTATGTTTGAATGATGGACGCGGGAATTTGTCTCGAAGCTCCTCGTAAATTGACCGAGCTCATCGAGTCTATTTATCAAGTCGGTTCTTTTATATTTTATATTTAGATATGCCATCGCTAAAAACGACCCATCAAGCTGCGCTATTCGACCCAATACAATCCATATACGATGTGCAAATGCGATCGGGCCCAGACGCGGCGTCGACAACGGCCTCGAGCGACGCCCCAGAGACATCGGCGAAGTCAATCGTAGAAGCCGAAGCAGCCGATGCAAGCACCCAGGCAGCTAATAACGATACAGCATCCACGACGGAAGCAACGTCAGAGTCAAGTGCAGGAAAGCTCAAAACGAGCACTAAAGGCCCAGCAACGCTCGAAACGAGCACTAAAGGCGCAGAAACGGTGGAAACGAGCACTAAAGGTGCAGCAGCCGCCGATGTCAGTAGTACCGCAGGTACAATAATCATATTGTAATTGTCAGGTGTCCTTACTACGTCTAATCAAACAATACGTGAGATATGCACAATTTTACTTTGCTACGTGCGAGCTTGATTTGATGGACGCGGGCTCTGATCAAATTGAATCTAAAATATTTAGTCGATGAGACAGAGAGACAGAGAGACAGAGAGACAGAGAGACAGAGAGACAGAGAGACAGAGAGACAGAGAGACAGAGAGACAGAGAGACAGAGAGACAGAGAGACAGAGAGACAGAGAGACAGAGAGACAGAGAGACAGAGAGACAGAGAGACAGAGAGACAGAGAGACAGAGAGACAGAGAGACAGAGAGACAGAGAGACAGAGAGACAGAGAGACAGAGAGACAGAGAGACAGAGAGACAGAGACAGAGACTCGCTAATTTTGTAATGAGTTGTTCATCGAGTGATTTAAATGACAAAATTTGTATAAACTGTAGCTCAGAATCTTGCCAATTTTCATACTTTATTCGTCCTCTTTTTCACAACTAACTTTCAACGAGACGTCTCAAATGGATTTAAATGACAATAATTGACAATAATATCATATAAATATATTATATCAAATGATTATAATTAACACTCATACCGATGAGATTATTTCAGCTAGTGCGTCAAAGAAAAATGCGACAAAAGCTGCGAAAGACGGTCCGAAATCAAAATCCGATTCAAATGTAACTGCGACGACTGATGCGAAAGTCAGCGGGAACAACACTAGTTCGGACAATGAAACTTCAAGTGTCGAGGAGACCACCAATATGGTATCTTCTTATATTTCTATTACAATTGTGTTATTTTTTTCTTTTTTTTTTTCTTTACTTTTTTTTATGCACTAGCCAAGCAATTATTATATAAGTATAAACATACGTTCGTAGGAGTCGCCAGATTTGATGAAAAATGTAACGATCGAAAGGAATGTACTGTGCCCTCCTTTAGGCACACCAATTATCGTTGATAATACTTTGGTAATGAAAGCTTTTGCACATTCTATATCTATTTTCTATCAATTTTTCTTCTTCTTTATTTATTCCGTTTGAATTGTATGAAGGGATACAACGATTTAATGTCTCGTGGAATGTATTTCAGATTGCTTTAATTGCCTACACGTGCGATGATTTGCAAGATTGGGTCGAGTGGAAATACGTGAATATTGAAACCAATCTACAATGGATTAACAAACAAATTGAAATTGGAAAGAAAGAAGAATATAATATGAGATAATGTCCTCACGATACTCTTCTCTTCGGGAATAATTTGGCAATATTAATAAATATATTATTATAAAAAAGTGTTTAATATGGAAATCATCTTACCATCAGATCAAACATATATAATATCGCACAATCAAAGTGCAAATTTCTTGCTCGTTCGAATCAAACGATTATTTTGCATTTTACCGTCGCTTGCCTCTCGGGAAACGTTGCAAACCCCATTGAATTCCAAGTATTTTTAAGATCTCGCGTACGTCGTTCAGCCGATCGACCAACATTTAACAATCGGTTTTTTTTTTTTTTTGGAACGGGCTGCGTTTCACCATGGAAACCCATTCGCTAACCATGCAATAATACACTGGCCAAATTTTGCATATTCGATTTGTCGATGGAGCACCAAACGCCAGGCGCTCCTTTAACACGAATTATAACTCGTAAACACGAGCATTACATAAGCGCTGTAATATACTTACTCGGTCTCGAGGTACTGGAAGACCCTGTAGACGGGTCGTCGGTACATGAAGAGGTGACCCTCGACGCGCTCCACCATCATCCTAAATACCACTTCATCCGTGCGTAAATGCTAAACACCTGAGAGTAAGTCATTGACGTGAGAAATCATTAGGCACTTTTGTCCCGGACGTTTCGTCAATTTCGCGCATTATAACGCTTATCGCAATTCTACGTTGATATTTATATTAGTGAGCTAGTGATTGCCGTAGCATCCCGTCGAATGCGGCCAATTATCGAGACTTTTAAATCAATGTTACGTCGAGCGTTTAAGGAAAAGTGACAAGTGCCGATAATCATAACGAGCCTTCTGACAGCTCCAAAGCACGACGGCTCTCGGAAGTTATGGGGCACGGCGGCGTTGGCGTTGGCGTTGGCGTTCGCGTTGGCGTTGACGTTGGGCGGGGGCGGAGGCGGAGGTCGGTATCAATGTCGAGCGTCCAGCAAACGCTCGAGTTGGATGACGACGCGACGTAGCGGTAGGATAAAAAAAAAAAAAAAGCATCGTTGGCCCACCAACGATGAGGCACAGAAATTTTCCGCGACGATAACTTTTCACGGTTCGACTATTTCATCACCTCCTCTCCTTCAGCTGGCTAAACCAGATTTTTACTCGAGGAATAGCATGGGCTTCATCAACCTCGGCCACGCGTCTTCGAATTCCCGTCCCGAGCTCGCCAGGCACGGACCCAACGCGCCCCTCGGCCTCCCTATTCCGGCTGGCAGTCGCTCGGTGCACCAGCGGCGCGTCGACTCGGAGGATCGATTGGCCCGCACCTTCTCAACCCTCCCCCCGCCACCAAACACACAAATACACGTGCGCTCTCTCTCTCTCTCCCTTACCCGCTCACCGCCTCTCGCCCCACACCCAGGACCTACCGCGGACTCGGGGGGAAAAGCGGGCGCAGCGGCGCTTACGTGGCGGTGACGCAATTCACCTATGCCGCACAGCCATTAGCCGAAGGTGACCTCGGTATCTCTAGCACCCACCCCCATCCACTCACCTACCCGCCACATTACCCGGCCCTCGCCCAACACTTAATCGACTGCCTCTCCCAGCAACGTACCCTCCTCGTCGGAATATCGCCAAGAGCCGAACGGACGGATGGGGCTCGAGGCCGGCCGGAGACTTGCGAGCGGAGCTGGACCGGCGCTGGGGGAGGGGGGTGGCCAGGGGACTCGGACTCACGGTGCCAGGCGCGCGCGGGCCGCGCGCTCTCGACGACCTGGACGGACTGCCGGCCGGCCGGCCGGCGACCAAGCGAGCTCCGCTTCCCACTCCGGTCACCTGGCAACACTGGCGCCTTATGGGGGTGCGAGCGAGACCGTCGCACCGGGTTAGCGAGGGCGTCGGCGCGCGGGGAAGTGGCGACGCCTGCGCTGGGCGCGGCAGCAGCGACTATCTTCACTCGCGTGCGTCGCGACGCCCGGCAACTCCTTTCCGGAGCCCCGCCCCCCGTGAAGGACGCTATTGCCGACGGACGAGGGATGCGTGTCGTCGGGACGAGACGAGACGGCTCGAGAGCAGCTTTATTCGATCGATTGGACAATTTGTTGCTTTGGGGAGAATGGGATGCGATCTCGATGCGAATAGGGTACGAATTGGTGGTTATCCTTTATTTTGGGCGATGCCTAATGAACTCTACTTTCCTTGCCGAATATCTCGGTTTTTATTAAACATCGTATTCTCTTGCCTCTGCACATTTGCATCTTTATTAGCCGATCTTACTTGTATGAAAAAATGTCTTTGCGCAGGAAGCTCGTGACGATCGAGTTCGCTTATAATTTTCTCTCCCAAGTAAGCTACAACATCTCGAACGTCGTGTCGCCTCAAAAGATTCTCTACGTACTTTTGAATTCACTTATCCCAATAATTTTCTTCGTATTATTTGTATTATTTGTATTATTTCTCCTTTTTCCTCTACTATTATTTTACATTTACGTATACATCTACGTATTTACATTGTTTTTCCCTTAATATTATGGTGAATTGATTGTTGATTATTATAAAATAAAATTAAAAAATAAAAAAATAAAGTCGAAGAACGATATACGTGCTATTAGCTTATATTAGTTTATATCCCATTAATATAATTATAGTTTATATACTCGAGTGCTCCAATAAAGTGTATCGTGTTATATTTGATAACTGCTTAAATTTACAAATATCAAAGATACATTGAATAAATGAGCAATTCTAGCAATTCTGACACCGATACCATAATAAAGAATAATTAACGTTTCTATCGATATTTTACATTCTACAATGATGAATCAGAAAAATTTTATACAAAATGAAATTATATGACTTATTTGTAGATGTGCGGATAGCTAAACCTGACGGAAGCTAAACTTAAAAAAAAAGACTATTATCTGCACAAAGCTCGTTCGTTGTTCTCATGATACTTTTAATGTGTGAACGCGAATGCTAAGGGCAAACGACCGAAACATTTCTGCAGAAAAAAGCGAGAGAGACTGAGTGAATCTAGGGAGACTGTAAATACAATAGGGAGAAGCGAGAGCTATAGGGAACTGAGAAACTCAAGGGTGAATAACAGTGATAAAAATAAGAGATGGGAGTCAGAGAGAGAGAGAGAGAGAGAGAGAGAGAGAGAGAGAGAGATACAAAGGGATAGAGATAGATTGTGAGAGGGAGAGTGGTGGGGGGAGGGGAGAATTGAAAAATAACGAGGAGAGGTATTACGCAGTAATTTTGTGCGAGACTATTGAAAAGAATAAATGAAATGGTTTAATATTAAAATACTGTATAGTTCTAAAATTTCACTATTAATAATATATATACACTAATAAAGAATAATGATATATATATATATATATATATATATATATATATGGGTGTGTAAAATATGCTTATGGATATGAAGAGAATTTTAGAATTTTTCCGATTTGTAACAGAACATTGAGTTTTTTAATTCCAAGAGTATGAAAAAACGAATATCTTTGTATTTCGACAAATTAAATTTACACTGCGCAAAGTATTTGTAATTTTTTGCAAATTGTAAGGCATGTCCGATGCTTAATATGCAATAGTACATACAATAAATGGAAATTCGTTGTTTATCAAGAAAATTTACACGCTGCAAAAATACCGAGAAGTCGCACAGTCTTTTATTATTCAATAAAATTCTTAAACTCAATTAATGCCGCCATGACGGCTCTATTTCAATTTATATAACTTTTCATGCCAAGTTATTATAAATTATTACGTTGATGGGTGTAATAGGGTATTTTATCTATTAGATTTATAAAGAATAATGCTTGCAATTGTTTTCACGTACAATAGTATAAGAGAAAAAGAAAATACTTTGATTAAGCATATAAGCTTGGGAAAATGGAGTAGCTCCGATGACGAACATTGATGCATTGAATCACAGGTAATAACTGTTATTTGCCGTCACCTAAGTGAACGAAAACAAAGAAAAGGACTGTACTACTTTTCACTTAAGCGCGCCGTTACATTTAATTAACGTTCCGAGAACATTTGAAACAAATTTATTAACAAAACCCGGGACAGAGCGAATATAACGATCATTATCGTGCTTTTTCAATAACGGACAGGTAATTGGATCGGCAGGGCGGGTAAGAGAGACGAGGAAGCGAAAGGATCGAGCGAAAGAAGAAGGGCGCTCATCCGCCCCTCAATGCCCCGCTGCCGCAGCCGGAGAGGCCCCCTCGCCCTACCTCACGACCTCGCCATCACATTTCCGTTGTCCGTTCCGCGTCTTGCGTCTCGATATTCTTGTTATGCGCATGCACGCGCACTCGCTGCATGACCAACGCAATGCGGCGGACGACGTTTCCGGTCTCGATGCGTGCACACGCGATTTTTAGTTGGGTATACGCGGCGGTCAACGTCGACTTGCTTTATTTACGCGTTTGCCTTGTCCTGCGGTGAGTGCATAAAGCAGGGCAGGATGCGAAGGATCGGAGCTAAGGTAAATTCTATCCTAACCCAGGACGCTCGATACGCTAGGTGTATTCAAGGTAATACCGAGGCCCGATGGTATAAAAGCAATTTTAATTGGCATCATCTCGGGCTCCCGGCACTAGGTGTCATTTCATTATAAGCACTCGAATAAAATGAGACTTGGAATTATCAACGTCATTCCTTATGTGTCCTTATCATCTTTATCCCGCTCGCTTTTCGTTCAATTAGAAAGAAATTTTACGGGCTGTTCGGCATGTGGTAGAGGAACGCGGGATGGCGAGCTAAGGAAAGGATTACGTATAATCTTGTATTTCCACGCATGTTCTCTCAAATTGACATGCGCAAGAATGTGTGGATACCCTTTCGTTCGAAAATGTTCGAATGACAATCGGTCGCATAAATGATAAATAAAGTATATGATAGTTGATAAGCTAGAATTTTATTGTAATTATGATAAATAATACTTAATAGCTATGCGATTGATAATACACGACTAGTTATTTACGTATATTTTAGACAATGATCGAGCTAGAGAAAATAGAAAATAAATTGAATATTCATTCGAATGAGTTTTATAGAATTTAATTAGCGTATAAGAAAAAAAAACAAATATCGTTGTGATCTATTGTTTGTAATTGTTTTTTTTACTTATTTTTTATCAAGCTTGATTTAATTATTCTTTCTTTATTTTGAACATTTAGTGGGAGTGAAAGATAATATTAATTAAAATAAGTAAAAGTATAATTTATATAAAGAATAATAAGTGAATACAATAGAGTATTTTGATAATGCGAATAAATGCAATGGAAATCCTGTTAAATGTGGGTTATAAGTATTTCAAAAGAGAAGATATTAATAAACGATGTGCGCGCGTGTGTATATATAAGTCAACGAGTAAAGAATTTTTACCCAAATATTAGCAAAGATAGAATAAATAATTTAGTTAATAAAAAAAAATATATATATATATATATATATATATATATATATATATATATATATACGTATATATAATAGGCTTGGATAATAAATTAGTTAATAAAAATAATTCAAGGGAAAGCATGGCAACGTCGTAGGTAATAATTTTACATTCCGGCAATCGTAAATTCGTGAGGAGTTGCGAGCGTTTGATCTTTCAGTCATTCGGCATTCGTTTGCAATGACTTTTGTCATTGCTCA